CTCTATGGGATCTCCAGCGTCTGCTGTTCTGCTGGTGTCCCTCCAGCATCCTCCCCTGTGCCAAAAAAAGGCAAATCAAACATTCCGCCCATAAATTATGCCTGATAGGCACGAAGAGCCAAGATCCTCTACCTCAAACAGGTTTATACAGCAGTTAGGTTGGCCTAAAGAAAAACAAACATGACCATTTTCTTTCCAACCCTTCTGCTGATTTATTTCCCCTAGTAACATTTTTCTGTTACATGAACAAAATCTCAGATATAGATCTAATTTATTGGCCCCCAAGAGGGGCAGGCGTCTTTTTGGGCATGAAGGAAAAGAGCCCCCTGCGACCAATAAAACACTGCTCCGGGATGCAAAAACACTGCTCCGGGATGCATTTATTAGCACGCCACCATTGCAAACGCGAGCTGAAACCTCAGCGCCTGCCATTCATCACGGGCTGTTTCCCCCAGTCCCGTTTCCCTGCGCTTAATGGGAGGGACGGAAAGGGCATCCGTAATCCCCGCTGACAGTCCCAAAGGGTTTACAGCGCCAATCCAGGAGCAGAGGCTTGCCGGGTGCTCCAGGTTTTCTCCTGGATCAGCACTCAGGGACGAGCCGCCCTTGGCACGGCCGAAGCAGGAGCCGTGGTCAGTCTCGACAGCCCCGAAATTCGGGTACCAGGGAAATCACCCGTGTCAAAGAAACACCCTCAACAATTACAAACCCCTCCAGGACGAGGGGCTGCCGGTTGTGGTTCAGGGGCAAAAGCTTCTTCCTCGCTCCCCTGCTCCAACAAGCAGCCATCTCATCTCAGCACCTGGGTGGGAAAGCGAGACACGAGGGGATTATTTGATGTTATATGAAGGGCATCCTCCCATGCCCTGCAAACCATCCACAGGGAAGCCCCCGGCCTCATCTGCAACACACCATGTCCATCAGCCTCCCAGAGGCCCAAAGAGCAAGGCTGCCTGCAGAAGCCCCCATTCCCACCTCTTCTAGAGGTGCTTCTTGAAAGCTGGTGAGGAGTCAGAGGGACTGGAAGCATGGTCGAATTAACACATAAAATACCCCATCTCTAAGTACACGGGGTGCAAACTCACAAACTTGGTGCTCACTCACCCTTGATGGTGGTCCCTTAACTCCGTCACTGAAGCTGGAGAGCCATTGGGAGCTCCATGGACCATKTGGTGCACTTGGAGACCCACCTCGATGGAGACACCGACCCCGTGCCCAAGTCCGTGAGCTGAAGCCTCCTTGTCCCCAGCCGAGCCCAATGGTGAAGTGGTTGGAGGTTGCTCGTGTTCCTTGTGATCTCACCTCCCCTCAGGATGGACTGGGATACCTTCTGGCACTGCTCATTCCCATCTTGCTGCCGAACACCCATGGAGTCCCACGGCTGCTTCCAACACATGCTCCAACATACACCCCAAATTGCTCCATCCTACAAGACGCCACCATGGATGGTTGGGCTGTGGATCACACATCAGCCCTGTGAAGTGGACAAGCCATTTGGCAGGGCCCGTGTGGGAACCTGCACCCYGATGCTGCCCAAGAACGCACCACTCACGCAGAGGCGATTCGTATCAAAACTTTATTTATTAAACCAAAAAAATGCACCATTGGAATAACATTTCTATAAAAAAATGAATATGAGACTGTTCTACAGTGCATTACAAAACCCCCTTTTCCTCATGTAGTAGTATACAAGATTGTGTGTAGAAACAGTCATTTATTTTTAAACCGTAAGCAAGGTTCCTTTCTCATAGAACAAGATTTACACTTAAATATTGCAGTCACTATTCTAATTTGGTTAACAACGCTAGAGGCCGACGATTTAAAGAAACGGTTTATAGGCTCAAAATGCCGTCCTTAGGCCTTTCGAAACAACAAGGTTTTTTTCTTTTTTTTTTTTTTTCTTTTAAACTAAGGCTAGTTAAAGCTGGAGTATAACCCATCTCTACCGGGTAAACCTATCACTAGTCTGCTAAGAACTTCTGGATTACCTTGCAAAGCCCTTTGAGGGGGAAGGCGCTCGCGGTGCCTGGGCACGGAGACACGGAGCGAGCAGGGGGGCCGCGGGCACCCCGGGGCCGGGCACACTGCAGCTTTAACCGCCTGCCCTGCGTCCGCAGCCAGGTCTCCCTCGCATCGTCATAAATTATCCAAAAAAAAGGAAAAAAAAAAAAACACTCTAAAGAATAAATTAAATATTACTTATAAAAAGTCCCCCTGCCCTCCCCCGTCCCCGCCGCTGCCCCCCACCACCCCAAGTCGGTGGCAACTCTCCAAGGTGGGAATTGCCAGGTCTATGTTACAAGAATAAAAAGAGCGTGGCTGCTCCTCGTGCCGACGCTGCTGCTCGCGTTGCATGTACAGCATACGGTGAAACGCGCGGGCTGGCACCGCTCCGGGCGAGCCCACCGTGAGCCCAATGCATGTGCCTGGAATGCCTTTTGCCAAGAGCTGGGGAAAAATTAAAAAAAAAATAGTYTTGGAGCCTCTGGGAATTCAGCTGGAGATGGGACAGGACACTTAGGAATTAACAGGGACGGAGGTAAAGCAAATCCMACAAGTCCCACARGAAAAACCATCTCTGACCACCTGGKAAGTCTGGGGGTTTAACTGCTAGAAAATTCCTCGTTCATCTGGTTTGTGGGGATCCACTTCAAAAACGAGACCAAAAAGGAACCSGAAACAAAGGGTTTGTGGCTCCTCCACCCTTGGGTTTCTCACCTACGCTGCCCACAGAGTATTTTTCCCAGCTGAACCTGTTAAGGGACTTGATGAGCGCCCCAGCCACGCTGCCAGCCCCAGCCCTGCAAACCTCGGTGCCTGTTTCTGGAGGTCTCACCAGGGCTCAGAGGACGCCTGGATGGAGTCACCTCCCTGGCATCAACGAGCCCTCCGGCCTCGGGAGGCCCTCTTTTTGCCTGGTGCTTTCTGGTTTGCTCCGAGAAAAGGGCCGTGGTAGCGAGTGGGCATCCCCACACACCAGAAGGTCTGGAAAAAGGGTTTTCAAGGAAGGTGTAGTCATTAAAGATGCCCAGGAGGGAAGCAGACCTGTTGCACWGTGGTTCTTGTGGTTCTGTGTGTTAAACAGCACGAAGTTGTGCGCTCAAGCTGGAGGAGATTTTCCAGCTGGGTGRTGTGGGGAGATGAAGGAACTGCCCTGGAGGTACCTGCAGGTCCGTCCAGGAACCTGGAGTGCAATCACACCATGGCCTGCGCAACCATTTCTGAGGGTTTCTCGCATTTCTGGCCATATCTTGGTCTGGAATTACAAATTCCCAAACACAGGGATGCATAAACAGATGGACTGATATGSAGATAGGATGTCGCGCTACAGAAATGTCTGGATCAAACTTCTTGACAACTCCTCGTCAAAATGCCGGCAGGATTGATGGCCAACCCCAAACTGAGGACTGATCCAGATCACCCCTAAAGTGATGAGCCAGATGATTCCCCTCCTTTAAAGGATAAATGGCTCATGAAAGGAATTGAGCTTATCCTCCAGAGCTGAACATCTAAGCAGCTCAGGAGACCCTAGTGCTGGTCTCCAACTATGGAGCCAACTATGGAG